GCCTTCTTTCTCTTTTTCTCTCTCTCTTTCTTTCCTTCCTTCCCCGCCCCCCCCAGACAGGGTCTTGCTCTGTCACCCAGGCTGGAGTACAGTGGCACCATGACAGCTCACTGCAGCTTCAACTTGCCGGGCACCAGCAACCCTCCCACTCAGCTTTCTGAGGAGCTGGCATCACAAGTACACAGCGCCACACTTGGCTATTTTTTTTTTAAATGTTTTTGTAGAGACAGGGTCTTACTATGTTGCCCAGACTGGTCTCCTGGGCTCAAGGGATCCTCCCATCTTAGCCTCCCAAAGTGCTGGGATTACACACATGAGCCACGGTGCCTGGCCGCATTCCTCCTTTTGACTTCTAAACTGTGAGGGCACCCATCTGTATGTATCTTCCTGCCTAGCTGAGGAAGAGGATCTCCTTACAAAGCCTTTATAACTCAGGTCTTTACCCTCCCATCTGTCTCTTCTGAAATACTGCACCCTAACAGTTATTCTTTCTCACTTTTATAATGTATTTTACTCTGCAAGTCATTCTCTTTAATTACAAATATGTCAGACTCCCTCATTCCTTTTTTTTTTTTTTTTTTTTTTTAAACTGGGTTTCACCGTGTTGGTCAGGCTGGTCTTGAAATCCCGACCTCAGGTGATCCGCCCGCCTTGGCCTCCAAAGTGCTTGGATTACAGTCTTGAGCCACCACGCCCGCCCAGTATTTGTCTTTTTGTGACTGGTTGGTTTCAGTTACCGTGTTGTGCTCAAGGTTTATTCGTGTTGTCATATTTGAGGGACTTTCCTACTTTTTAAAGGCTGAATAAGATTCCATTCCATGTATAATACCATAATTTTGTTATCCACCATCAGTAGACATTTGGGTTGCTGACCCGTCTTGGCTATTGTGAATAATCCCACAATGATTATAGGAGTGCAAATATGTCTTTATGATCCTGATCTTAATTCTGGATAAAATCCTAGAGGTGGAACTGCTGTATTAATGTGGTAGTTCTATTTTTAAGTTTTTGAGATCCCGCCCAGGCGAGAGTGGAGTGGCCGGCATCTCGGCTCACTGCAGCCTCCAACTGATGGACTCAAGCGGTCCTCCCGCCTCAGCTTCCGGGGTAGCTAGGACCACAGGCGAGCGCCCCTACGACGGCCTTAAAATTAATTTTAATAGCAGGAAGTTTTGTGGATCTAATCACCAACAGACTTTCCCTGTGCCAGGGCATGATCTGTTTTCAGGAAACTGAGTTGCTCGGGAGTCCAAGGCAAGTCCCGCCTCCAAACCGGAGGAGCTGGGAATGAGGCGGAGAGAAGCGCAGTCCCCGCCCAATCCCGCCCGGGCCTAACCTCTCGGCTGCGCGCGCAGCTTCCTGGAGACCCGGAAGCAGATTACGCGTGGAGTGACGGTTATGCTGCGGCGTGTGAGTTTCCCTCTGTTAGATTAAATTTGGGATGCCGATTCCCTTCTCGCTTCTGTACCCGGCGTCTCCGGGGCCACAGAGACCTTGAAATCGCCGCACAACTCCCTCCACCCCAAGTAAACTCAGACGTTCTAATAAGAGTCCAGCATTCACTTCACTGTGTGTGTGTGTGT